TTTTACCGGAAATTTCCCAGATTTTTTTTTTTTTTTTTTTTACAGTGTACACTATCATTCAGAAATTCTGGATCTGGTTTTTGAAAGAAATCAATACCTTTATTCAGCAAGGATGCATTCAATCGATCCAAAGTGACAGTAAAGACTTCCACATTGTTATAAAAATTACATTTCAAATTATATTTCAGTATATTTCAAACAAAATGCTGTTCTTTTGAACTTTTGTTTCATCAAGGAATCCTGACTAAAATGTATAAAGGTTTCCACATATTAAGCTCTTTTTAACACTGATAAGAAATGTTTCTTGAGCAGTAATTATTACAATAATTTCTGAAGGATCATGTGACACTGAAGACGGAAGTAATGATGCTGAAAATTCAGCTTTGCATCACAGGAATAAATTACATTTGATAATATATTACAATAGAAAACAGTTATTTTAAACTGTAAAAATATTTCACAGTATTACTGTTTCTATTGTATTTTTGAACTATTTTTACTGTAATTTAATTTGTACTTTTTCTTGAATTTAAAAATAATGCAGCCTTGGTGAGCACGAGAGACTTGATATACTATATATATATATATATATAAAACATAAAGTAAAATGTATATATACAGATGGGTCCAAAAGTTAGGGTTAGGGTAGCAGAGACCAGAAGTGGAAAAAAGCATGTTTAATACAATATTTGAATTGCAGATAAAATTAATAGCATAGCTATTTAAGTTAGAGGTGAAATAACACAAAATAAAATAAAAAAATCAGAATGACACTTTTAGTGTTTGGTTTGTCTCCCTTTTGGTTCAGTTGTTACTGAACTTTAGATTTGGGAGTGTTCCAAAGAATGCTGCAATTGTTTTAAACTGTTTTATAACTGCAATATCTGCACAGCTTGTCTGTATCTTTCTCTCGGACCATATTACAAGCTGACACAAGTACATCCCGCTTCTAAAGCCCACCCCTTTTTCAATGAAGAAAAAGGGTCTTATCAAAAGAACTCTGTTCCTTACGGTTCATCTGATCACACGTGCCGCTCATTCTACTCTTCTCACACACATACACACAACATCCAGCTTCACAATGCCGGCTGATTTCAATGGAACGTGGGAGATGGTCAGCAATGACAACTTTGAGGATGTCATGAAGGCTTTGGGTATGTGATTTCTATTACTGAATCCTACACTCTAAAAAATGCTGGGTTAAAAAGGGACAAACCCAGCAGCTGGGTTGTTTTGACCCAGCGGTTGGGTTGTTTTGAACCCAACCACTGGGTCAAAACAACCCAATTGCTGGGTTTGTCCCTTTTTAACCCAGCATTTTTTAGAATGTATAGTTATCAGCAGGAGCATTCACACAGCAGAGATGCAGATTGGGTTCTTGTATCTTCATGTAAGTTATCTTGTTCTTAGTGGACAGAGTTCACTGTAACCCTGCATAAATGATAGTGCAATTGTTGCAAAATAATGGGTTAAAGAAGACGATGTAGTCCAAAGTAATAGTTTTTTTGTCATATTCTGTCAATATTCATTTTGCAACAGATTTGAATGCATGTACTCACTTCATAATAGAGACTTTATATGGGTTATTATAATTAACGACAACTAAAATCATAACAAAAATGCATTAGCTACTTGAAATAAACATTAACAATAATACAATTAAATAGAAAAACCGTAAACCTGAAAATAAAAAGTGTAAGACGTTTCATGCATCGTGCATGCACTGGGGTTGCATAAATTTCAGTCATGAAAAATATTAATTTTGCAACAGATTTAATTGCATGGGCTCATTGTGCTTAA